GCCGCGAACGCTATCAAAATACTCGATTTTTATTACTCAAACTGAAACGGAGCCATTGTGCTCGCACTGATTATATAGTGTGCAAAGCTTCAAAACTACAGCATATTTTGTAAACAACATGAAATATATAAATATCAAACACAATTTAAATTATAAATATAGTAATGCAATTGAAAGCCTCAAACCCGCGAACGCTATCAAAATACTCGATTTTTATATACTCGAACAGTAATTTTTTAGTCAAGTAAGTATTGTTTACATTTTTTATTATTGTCGCTACTTGACATGCGCATCACGGCATGCATGCGTCTTCCGGTGTGCGAAGTACTCATATTCATGGATACTGTATGTAAGATACAGCCAAACGAATCTCCGTGGAGTCCCCTACTTAAGGTGGCTTTTCGACTAAAAAATGACTGTAGGGTCCCTTGACTCCCTTTAATGTTATTATTACCGTCGCTTGCAACTAACTATTAACGGTCGCTTAAAACACATTGTCTATATTCGCGTGTTTCTGCTGGGGTCTACACCGTAGGCAAATTCGCGTGAGAGTCTTAATTAAGTTTTCTTATTTTGACATAATAGCTATTTTGCAATAAATATATTGATATTAAATTTATTGAATCGATATTTTAAGTTTCACGCCAGTTGTACCAAAGGTTATAAACGCTATAGCGCATCATAAGCATAGATATCTTATATAAGATATCTATGATCATAAGTTTTCAAACATTTTGTTCTTCGAGTTAAGCCCCAACGTTTGAAAGATGTAAACAAGTTACGGTTAATCTGATCCCAAACAAATTAAATTGTCATTTGGATCGCGTTTCCTCTATGGCGTTTCGTTCAATCACAGTTCAATACGTTTTATTTCAGCCGACGTATTATAGGGACTTTAAGATTGAAGTTTACGGCAAACCGCTAACCGCAAACGGCAAACCTCAAATCGTAATTTCAAGTCAATTGTTAGCTCTTCGAACTTAGAGCAACTTGTGCACATTGGCGTAGCCAGACCTTCATTTTTGGGGGGCGAAGCGAGAGACAAGGCCGTCCGAAAATTTTTTCCCGGAACAATTTATTTTTCGCGACCTCCCCCCCCCCTCGTCGCCAAAAAAATTTCGGTCAGTGTACCATTTTAGGGGTCCAAAATTTTTTCCGGACATCCCAATGTTATTGTGATCAGAAATATGAGACAGCATTTCCGCATTCTCAAAATTGCGTTGCTTTTTCATACGATACAGAATAAGTCTGACTAGAATATTCATGCGATGATAATGCATACACGTAAATCTAAACTAAACCTTGTCTTCTTGGAACCATATCTAAAACTGCTTTAATTAACGAGATTTTACAAATCAAGTTCCTCCAGGATATCCTCGTTTTCCTCAGTCGCGCGACGTACTTAATCAGTTTCAGCTTCGTGAATGTAACGTGTACCCCCCCCCCCCCCCATTTCTCTACGGATTTAGCCTTTTTCAGAGAATTTTTTTTTTGCGATTGGGGGGGCGGTCGCCCCCCCTTGCCCCCCCTTGGCTACGCCCCTGCTTGAGTTGTGCATATAAATTGGACTATGATTTAGCTACTTTTAGCTAATAAAGGAATAAAGATCGACCTTTGCTGCTGTAAAGGTCAATATTAAAATATCAAATTGTATATCGGTGTCCCAAAAAACACCGGAGTCTGTTTGATTTCATGTAACGCAAAAGGTATAAAATCTAATCGTGAATGAAATAAAGATCATTGCATTCATAATAAACTAACTTAGATTTTGATTAGCAATGTGTCATTTTAGGGCCTGTTTACATGGAGGTAGGGTGACCCTATCAGGAGGGTTACCCTAGCAAGCGGGTCAGAAAATAGCGGGCTATGTTGCTCGATAGGGTAACCCTACCTATGCGTGGTCGCTAAGCGGTCTGTATTAGATAAATGGCGTCGAAACGCAAAGTTTTAGCGGCAAGTTGTATAATGCTATTTATTGGGCCTTTGCTTGCTGCATTTCAATGTTGTGGTCTGTTATTTCCGAGGTTATTTAAATATCGTGGTCTGTTATTTCAATGTTGTGGTTTATTACTCGCATTGCGTAAATAAGCGTAATGTATTCCTTGATATAGTCCAACACAACAGTTTTTCGACATGTTCGGCTGACCAAGAGCATTTATTTTGTTTTTTTTGACGTCGATGAGGATGCGCTGGAATTTTGCTTCCTTTTCGCCGTCTTTGACAATTTGTTATCGAAACTACATCATTCGCAGCGTTCTCGTCCAAAGTCAAAGCTTCGTTCTATGCCTCTGCTTCATTAATTATTTGTAAATTGCTTATCCTTTTTATTTTCTGGTGTCGTTTAAAATACTTGCCAGGCTGATATGTTCATATATCTAGCGACGCCATCCTTGTTTGTCTGTCACAGTAGGACGTATAAAACATGACCCGCTTGCTAGGGTAACCCTACCTGACGCGTTTACATGGCTTATGTAAACAAAAAGATAGCCCTGCTGCTAGGGTCACCCTATCTGTTTGATAGGGTAACCCTACCCCTAGGGTAACCCTAGCGCGCATGTAAACGCTTCCTATAAAACATATTGAAGTAGGGTAACCCGCTTGCTAGGGTAACCCTTCTGCTAGGGTCACCCTACCTCCATGTAAACAGGCCCTTAAAAATGAGCTCAGGGCTGGTTTACAAGACGTTTATGATAATTATGCATACGCAGGTATTTTATTGAAGTTCAATTCATCAACTTAAGTCCTAAAGAGTAAAAGGAGTTAATTTTCAATAGTTTTAGACCCAATTCTCGACCTGTGGAAATATGCACTTTTGGTGGAAATATGCACTTTACATTTTAATATATGGTTAAGCAACTATTAATTCAAGTCTTCATATTAAAAATGGAACGATTTCATTAGACTGCACACATTTCAAAATGGAAAGCGGTCGCAAAATGTCGATCGCCCCACAAGTTGCGAAATGCAAATCTACCTTAATATACCGGGTGTCCCAAAAAACTGGATACTATTTGATTTCATGTAACGTAAAAGCTATAAAAGCGATAATGCATGCAGAAATGACTCATTTAGCTTCTATTTCGAATTTACATGCAATATTGACTGCGCTATTGATGTTTGAACGTTGAACTACTGTTTTTGAAAATGCCAAAAATTGGCATAAAACAACACTTATAGTTATAATTTTCTTTATAATTATAATCAAAATTTTCATCAAACATCATCCGACATTGCAGGACCAACAATTTTCAACAATCTTGAAATGGTTCCACGTTTTTATCGGAACTTTAGTAGATAAACGAGTTTTCTGATCTTTCAATTCGTTCCCAGCGCTTGTTTTCGGAACAAAACGTTCTTTTGTATTGCGTTTCAAGTTGCAGCACCAATTGGTTTGTTTAAGGTTACAGAACACTTTTGAGTATTAATTTTGCCTAAAATTTTTTTATTGGTTTCAATGAAAGCATTAGACTAGTTCTACTATCTGACCAAGTTTGAACGAAAAATGTTGAAAACTCGCAGAGTTATTTAATAAAATACATTTCGCTGCAATAAGAAAAACATTGAAAATGTAATATTCAAATTCAATTTTCTCACGAAAAATTTTACGGTAATTACTGATTTTCAAATGAGTTATGCTCCTGCGGGTTTTAACCAATTTTTCTCAAATTTTCACAGGGGATAGCTAAATACGTCAGTTTCAAAATTGTATTCGGCTTTTTTTTAATTTTGGATATTTTAAAAATAAAGAGCAATTCACTCAAACGATTCAGAAATATATTGCAGTCGTCAAAAAAATCGCCATATCAGCGGAATGACGAAATAAACAAAAATTTCCGATCAAAGGCAAAACATCGAAGTCGCTCCTTGTCGCTTCCATTCCGAGTCTTTGACAACTTTGTCACCACGACACCACGTGCACAACAATAGAACTACAATATTATTACAATAGTATAACATTAGTATAACAACAGTACATTGATAGTACTACAAGAATAGTACAAACCACAATAGTCCAACAACAATAGTACAACAATAGTACGACAATAATACCACACAATTTTTTAGAACAACTATTTTACTGTATATAAAAATAATATTTTCATAAATATAACTTAAAACCAGCCGGAGCACAACTCAAAAGCGTAAAGGTACCGCGATTTAAGATTTTCCTGAATAATTCTTACATTATTTTATTGCTTGTTAATTTTACAACTTTACCATATTTTGCATGCACTGGAGAACATTTGGTGAAAATTTGATGAAAATCGGACTGATATTGAGCGCGCAGTAGCGATTTTCCGCAAAACGCCAAAAAGGGTGTCATGTAACCTTAACTTAAGGCGGTTTTCCACTAGGCGAAATTTTTCGACCGAATCGAAATTTCTCTTTGTTTCAGAGCTCTCGAGCAGAACTAATTGTAAAAAGACAAAGAGAAATTTCGTTTCGGTCGAAAAATTCCGCCTCGTGGAATCCGGCCTTTAGCCTTTGACTTGGTACATTTTTTACTTTTTCTCAAACTCACCCAGTGCTTCCATTTTTAAAATCAAAATTTCTCATTTTTGTCATCAAAATTTGTCTAAATTCCTTAGATAGTATATGTTATTTCCTTGAAAATTCCTTGAAATTTCATGAAGCAGTTTGTAGTGATTTGGTAGCAATACAAAGGATTTAATTAATTTTCAAGACACAAAATAGCACAATTAACAAAGATGTGGGCAAGCTAAAAACCACAGGCTATTATACTGTTTAAAATTAAATATTTGTTATGAATTTAATACAAGAGATATCTTTACAGGAGCAGGTTATCTTTACATTGATATGATTAATTAACTATTCACAGCGTTTGGCGCAGTTTGGCGCCAAAGGTTACTAAATCCCATCGCTTGGAAATTTTCGGAAGTCCAAGGAAAAAGTTAAAAACAGACTTTTAATTAAAGATAATTGATAATTCACTCAAAAATTCAAAAAATACTGAAACCTTCTTCTTAACTAATGCACTTGGATGATGTTACATGATGGCTATTATCATGTAATTTTACATATATTAAATATTATTATACTATTATTATATTATACTATAGCTCATACTTAATTATTATATTATAGCTTACATGCATGAGTAAGCAAATAGTTCTAAAGATTAGAGTAAACGCCTTGTCCACAAATAACGTCAACGGACATGAGTGTGGTTAGAGAACTTTGCACCAACGACCGCAGCATTGCGTATGGGAAATGCGTCAAGATAGCAAACTCATCCTCTGACCAACACTATAAAAGTAGCTTCACGCATCAGTGAACATGTTTGATTACGTTATGATTATTAGCATTATGATTAAGAATAGAGAAATGATGAAGGATTAAGGAAGAGTATTCTATATTTGTTACGAGCCGGTCCCTACTATTTAGTTTGGCCGGTCTGGTCCTATTTACTCGCAACAAAAGAATGTAAATCTAAGCATTTTACCTTTTGATATATATATATATTATAGTAGAAAAGCATTAGTTATATTAATTAAGCTATATGACAATATGGTTAATTAGGCTATATGTTAAAACTTATCTGTCCGAGTGAGCATTGCAACTTGATATAGCAACAGTTCATATTCATAATAAACCATAGTCCAGAAGATATCCATGTTGTTTTCTTTCTACGTTAATCAGCGCGTTAAAGCAGCTTCGTCTTCAGCCATGGAATACTCTTCCTTAATCCTTCATCATTTCTCTATTCTTAATCATAATGCTAATAATCATAACGTAATCAAACATGTTCACTGATGCGTGAAGCTACTTTTATAGTGTTGGTCAGAGGATGACTTTGCCATCTTGACGCATTTCCCATACGCAATGCTGCGGTCGTTGGTGCAAAGTTCTCTAACCACACTCACATCCGTTGACGTTATTTGTGGACAAGGCGTTTACTCTAATCTTTAGAACTATTTGCTTACTCATGCATGTAAGCTATAATATAATAATTAAGTATGAGCTATAGTATAATATAATAATAGTATAATAATATTTAATATATGTAAAATTACATGATAATAGCCATCATGTAACAATGAATATTTAAGTTTTTCGGAAAAAATCCTTAGATTTCCTTAGATATTTTCTCTTCCTTAGATTTTCCTTTTCGACAGTAGAATTTCCTTAGAAAAGGGAAATTTCCTTGAAAATGGAAGCACTGAACTCACCAATAATTCATGAAGATATTAGCCTGTCACATCGCATTACTTTGCTCACAAGATGACATTGAATACAAGGGAGATTAAGTCACCTAGATTAAAACGAATTTAAATTTACTCACTTTAAGTCATGGTTTATGAGAATTAAAGCTCGATCGGACTTGTCATCTCGTCCAGTTCTCACCTTTTGGATTTGAAATGTTACATAATTCAACATTAAACATTGCCAGAAAATGTGAGTAAGAGTGTTGTATCCATAACGATTCCTTTTCAATGCTTATCATTGTACTGTTTTCAGTATTTGTTTGATCATTCTTAAAAACATTTTTCAAAGCCAGTAATAGATCTGAATAACACAATTACAACTTGCGAGGCAACCAAACCTTAATTAACTCAAAACGTTCTGAACAGTTAAAAGCAGCAAAAACAATGCTTCGTTCACGACATACAGCGATCGGTGCTGGAATATCACCTACATCTAAACAAGTTAATATTTCACCACGATCCACATTAATGAAATATAACGTATGACTATAGTTAAGCTACAAACTAAAGTTTTCGTCCTCAAAAACGTCCACCGGATGAGACCATTATTTGGTTCGTTAATAGGGATCGGAGCAAGAAATTTTACTATTTAAAAAGGTATGATGCAGGCCTCTGCGCATGCGCGGAAATTTAATAAATTCAGCATGAAAAAACGGCCTTATTTTATGAAAAAGTTTCATATTTTTCAGCCCTTATTTGTTAAGTCGGGCTTTACTATGCCCCTAGGATACTAGTACACTTACGTGGTCTTTCAGAATACGTAAATTTTAGAAAAACGTCGTTATAAATGGCAAAGATTAAGTTATCTCCGATGAGTGAAAAACAAGTTTGGTTTGGAAAAGGCCCCGCTGAAAAACATCAACAAATTTTGTTTTTTGGGCTAGTCTATCTGGGATTTGAAAAGAAAAGAGAATAATCTGGACTGCATTTGCATCAATCTCAGCTTTTTGTTTAATTTTTGGCTTTTAGGTGGGTTTTTTGTTCTAAAAATGAGCATTTTCGTACAAAAATTAAAAAACGTCGATCGGAACTGATTTTAGATATTTTTAGCTCCCGCGAAAAATATGCGTGTTTTATACCTACAATGGCGGCCATATTGGTGTGACTACCACAATATACTATGGTGTTGGTGACATATAGTGGAAGAGATTCTTACAGTTTTTAGTTATCGTTGGGATTTGGGAAAGGATAAACATTATCTGAGTACAAATTTATCAACAGTGGCCTCTCTTCCCCGCCTTAAAAACCATGTCAAGTCCGTTCTGCACATCAGTTCTGCTGATAACAAAGGGGGACCCGCATGCGGATATAAGCATTGCCCAAATATTGTATCTTTCGAACTTTTTTGAACTGAAACGTACTCCAGTTCATATTCATTTAGTATGTATATTCATTTTATATTCATTTAGATATTCAGTTAGTATGTCTTATTTTACAAATATAGCAGTTCAAAATGTAAACAAAGAATTTGTTTGCATTACGGACTTGACATGGTCTTTAATAAATTTGCCAATGAAGTCACACCAATAATGCCACCTCAAGACTCATTATCTCGACTTTAAAACGATCTAAAATTTATTAGAAGAAGTGTGGGAAGCTATATCTTCCAACATACATAGAAGAATATATTTGCTTTATAGTATAACTAATATAAACACGTAACGATTTGATCCGTAAGGGATGTGACAGATTTAATAATCTCTCCTCATTCTAAATATTCTGGCACAGAATTAATTCCCTTGATTCGAAGGTTTCTCTATCCAGTCCTAGATATCAGATCAGCACCAAAGCTCGATTCGCACCCCCTACCAGATCCAGCTAGATCCATCCTTGATACACGACATCGACTGCCGGACAACTTGAAACGAGAAACGAACCGCTACTCAGTAGTAGAATCACTGGAATTATTAACTTCAATTGCTTTCATCACATGAAAATTTTTGCTATGGGTCTGTTGGTCCAGTGGGTATATATAATACTTTGGCTAGTTAGATTAAAACTTTTATTCAAACAGGATGCCCCAGTCAGCTTGAACTAGACGCTGGTATCGATAGGGGTCGTGCATAATACAATAAATTTATACATTTCAAGAGTACGTGAAAAAAAGTCTAACATGCCCATGCTAAAGTCATCAAAAAACTATTATGCTAATATTACTATTAAAAAAATATACGAAAAATATTATGCTAACACAACTATTTTAGCTCGCCTGCACTTTAGTGCTAAGATTAATTACTATGATAACATTTATTAAAGTCATTAATAGGAAAGATAACATAAAGATAATAGGAAATTGTGCATAATAGAGAAGCAAGGAGAAGTCACACCCCGAAATAATTTGCAAACAACTGTTTGTGAAATCAACGCCAACTTTCATAAGGCAGAGTACAATTTCTAATAGTATAATTCCCTGCACCAGAATGATGAAAACGACCTTGAAATATTGTGAGTAAGGGGTTAGTAAAATAGCATACTATAGGACTACAACAATTACACCGTTACAATATATGTCGTTTCCAGTACTTCGACCACACTCGCGCTATGGGAATATCATGCCAATATATGCGAACAAAAGTAGACAAAATATTGATCAAAGGCCTTCGAGGCCGACTCACGGATGAGATCAAATTAATTAAAGGGGGATATGATTTACAGCAGTTTTTTACAAATGGGAACCGTGCAAGGGCAAGGACATTATTTGGTAAAGCACGACATAATATAAAATGTTCCCGAAGATTTTACAGGTTTAAACAGTTTAATTTTAACGACATCCTTGATTTTAACAATAAGGGACCGGTCATTAATTATGGAAGGGGGTAGGGGAGGAAAAAAATAAGGGGGGGCATATGTAAAAATGACTAGAAGGGGGGCTAATAAATTTTTTCAAGAAAATGACAGGGGGTGTTGCAATTAAACTTGAAGGAATTTGCTGAATAACCTGGTATCCATTTGGTTGTAAATGTTGCAACTAAATCATGGTCACTGATGTGAAATAGTCTGGATTCATCTTGTCTTGTGTGTGCTGTATGCAAATCAGTCTTTACGGATTGCAGACTAGTTAAATTGACAATGTATTATTACATCAGCTCTTGATATGGTTAAATACATTTAAATTAAGCAAGGTTAACAGCGTTTGTATTATGCAGGCCACATCCGCTGCGGGGAATCTGTGACGTCATATCGATCAAAGGGGGTTGTTTCATGCCTTGTGATCAGTGCTTCGGTCTAGGTATTCATTCTACCATTGTATGCTTTGCCTAGCTGCAGCAAGTTTTGCGCTTCGATACCTTTTCCCGACCCACCCACCCATGTTCATTCTAAAAGATTTTATCTGGTAGCTAGTATATGTCATTTTTATATAATTTTTAATCTCACATAAAATAGGATGTATAGACCACTATACACTGTCGCAGGTATGCCTTGGCAGAATTGTCATTGCTATCTCCTTTTGCTGCTAATTTTACTGATTGTTGCTCTCATTGTTGCCGCGCAGCTGCTATGGCAATACTTCGTACCATCAACTCTAGTTGCAGCCTTAAACATGGTTACGATCGCCCAGACCAAATGGAAACCTGATTTTAGTGTTATATATAAAAATACTCCTCTTTTAATTACAATTTTCTGCTAATAAATATATATTTTTGGTCGACGTTAATATCTTGCCAGTTCCATATTCTTACTTAATAATTAATACTATAACGCCTGGGTATCCCCATTTGACGAGTAAAAATGAAAATGGGAGGGGGGGGTCAAAAAAAATATTCTAATATGCAGGGGGGCATCATTAAATTTCTGCCATTTAGGGGGGGGGGCTTTCAATTTTAAAAGTTTAGAAAAGAAAAAATTCCCCTCCCCCCTTCCATAAATAATGACCGGTCCCTAACCAATATCAACAGTCTTGAAAAAACAATCTGAATAGATTATTATAAAACTACACACTATCAAAGCAAATCTATATAAAAGTACAATAACCGTAGCTGTCAGGTGTGTATAGTGTTCAACAGAATAACTATAAGTATAAAGCTGTACCTAATACAGTCAGTATCAGTACATCCAATGACTGTGGCTTTCCGATATGTACAGTGTTAAACAGACTGACAATTTAAACATGATAACTATAATAAGTATAAAGCTGTACCCAATGTAATATATCAAATGACCATAGCTGTCCGATCTAGAGTGTTGAACAGGACAATTTAAACATGATAGCTATAAGTATAAAGCTGTAACCAATACAGTACATGCTGCATCAACGACCGTAGCTGTACGATGTACAGTGTACAGTGTTGAACAGAAAAATTTAAACAGAACAACTATAAAACAGCACCCTTATTGATACAACGGTACAGGTAGCTGTCCAATGGCAGTACAGTGTAAGTAAATCCAGGTGGTAATGCTGCCTCAGTGTCCAATGCTCTTTTTCTTTTTAGACCATTTATAATTGTTACCAAACTGTGAATAAAAATAAATATCTACATTGAAAAGGGAATGGCTGCAAAAATTTCAATATCAGTCCCCCACACACCACTGTTCCTCATGTTGCTTGTGGCTAAATAATGATCTACTGAACTATTCATATATGGTCTAAGGACATGTTCTATACTGTTCATGTGATCCACTATTTTTTGTCTTAATTAAAATCATGTGGTATGTTTGTCTACCGGTTAAAATATATGACAGTGCTCTAAATAAACAATTGCCATCCCCTGTAATCCGACAGAGTTTCGTTGGATTAACTAGTGGTTTTGATGTTGTTTCATTGCGTCTAAATATAAGTGGGACATTCATCAAAGAGCATAAGGACAGCTGAAATTCTCCTGATATAAAAATGAAGCGATCTATCGATACACTGCTGAGACTCGTCCGTGCCAGCTGATACTAGGCTACAGTGCCAGCGCAGTCATGTGAAATATTATATACAACGGCAAGTCGGCAACGTGACTTTAATACAAAGATTTTGTGTCGTGTTGCTTCGAATAAGACAAATATGTCCTTTGTATTCCGTGACAGCTAAAACATGAATTATTAATTTAAATAACATGATTAAATTTGGTAAACAAAAAACTCTTTCAATCGACAGAAACTATGGAAACAGTGTTGAAACGGTGTTGAAACACAGCTGACAGAGGCGCTCGAAAGGCACCAGAAAATGTGAACACTTGTATATATATTGAACAAAATAGTGTTAATATTTCAGCTAAAAGGTAGATCAGTGTGTTAACAGCAGATCTGTTGGGTGAAGTAGAAAAACAGATAACAATTAAGTCAACTAACACTCACCTTTTAATTTAGCACACGCTTGTCAAAAAGTCAAAAGTTGAAAACTGAAAAGAACGTGAAGCGTGCTCCAGCCCAATTTCCGGTTCCAAAAGACCCGTTCGCAGGCAAACACTGCGCGCAAAGCAGGCTGGTCATTTCCCATTGTTTAACTGCCCTACTCAAGTAAACCACAAAGACTCACAGATGTTGCTTCGCAACATCCGTGAGTCAAAAACGCTAAATATTGCGCACTATCCGTAACTCGAAATATGCCTGACCCTAACATGGCCGAAACTATTCTTTTGATCTAGTATAAAGTAGTGACCTGTCTAACCTATTACACAAGACTACTTCGCAACTAGGCCCACTTCCATAAATTAAAATCTATTATTTATGAAAATCATTATTTCTGCAAAGTATTTATTTTAATCCCTATTTTGAATTTATTTTATATTCTGAGAGGGGGTCCAGAAGGGGGTCCAGCTTTTGTACCCTCCCGTGGAAAACAGTTATAATTATTAATGTAACATAGGCTTGTGACAATTTTTAAACTTATTAATGTAGATAACTATTTTTGGTAAACCTGATGAAGCTCCGTGGTTAAATAAAGATTTACTGACTAGTATTAAAATTAGTTTAGTATAGATGTAAGGTTTATTTTAAATAATATGTACCTACACTGAAGATTTTAACGTGTTTAAATAAATGTTCAATCTAAAATTATACTGTAGATTACCAATATACTAATAACAGTACAAATCCATTAGGATTTGTTTAATGTTTATTTTTTATGACCATTTACATTTTAGAGAGAGAAAAAAAGTACAGCTGTTGTCCCAATCACTGTGGCGGGCATACTTAATGCACAATATCAATCTGATGTAGACGCTTTTGTACTGAATGAAGCTTCAATGCACCAGGTATTGTTTCTTGATGTTCTTAACCCCTCGTTTATCCATTGAAAATGTTTTTGTTGCTTCAGATCCTGCTTCCAAACTTGCATGTTTTTGTAAAAATAGAAAATACCAACTTATTCTGTGTTAACTTATTAACAACTTATTATTCTGTGTTGTTCTATTAATAAAAGCTTGATTTTCTAAGGCTGAGAAACGCTATTTCGTGCATTCTTAATCCTAATCCTAACCCTAAAAGTTTAAAAATAGTAACTCCCCCTAAAACTTGACTCATGTATTGAGCTTTCAAATTGATATCTTGTCAATTGAATGTAAATATTGAAAAGCTAGCTGACCATTATTAGCCAATGTCAGAGCATCAGCACATTTGATCAGACATTTGTCGGACCCAAGCGAAATGGGCATTTCCAGCTATAGACTAAATTTTGATCTAGGCAAGAAGAACAAAATCCATCACCACAGCTGGAAAGAGCATGTTGAAATTAGTAAAATTGCAAAGTTTGGTTGCGAAACGTTGTAAAATGAAGAAAATATAGCCCTACGAAATTTGCAAATTTTATATTAATTTGTATTACGCACGGGAATTTGCACCACTTTCGGCCCAAATGTGGTGCATTTTCCCGTGCGTATACAAATTAATACAAAATTCGCAAATTTCGCAGAGCTATATTTTCCGCATTTTACAACATTTCGTGCCCAAACTTTGCGATTTTACTAATTTTAACATGCTCTTTTCAGCTGTGGTGATGGATTTTGTTCTTCTTGCCTTGATCAAAATTTAGTCTATAGCTGGAATTGCCCATTGTTATAATCCACGCTGTTGTCTGGACGGTTGCACGAAGTTGTCAAGGCCTCAGCATGATTTACTTTCTCTAACATTATCGCTTTGTGTTCCCAGGTGACTTTCATTGGTATGGTGTCGTCAGTTACGGAGAATCGAACACATTTGTCGTTTGAAATTGATGATTTGACTGGAGGAATTGTCTCAGTCAAGCGTTGGCTTGATCAAGATGTATGTACATGATGTTTGTGATGTTACTCTGAGTGTGCGTCCACACCGGGCAAGCTGAAAAGTTTGCCTGACCACGGTGTGAAACGAACCTGCGAGTCCAATGCTCTACCAACTGAGCTACGAGGTCAAGTCGGTTCAAGTTGGTGATATTTCGGAACTGAGTCTAGTTCCTTCGATATCATTGTATTCTAAGATATGATACCTTGGAGTATTATAAGTATAACCCAGTTGCACGAGGAAATATAGTGGCATAAAAAACATGGGAAATCTCCGTAAATGTTAACATGCACTAATAAAGCAGTAAGGAATGAGCTAAATAACCCTGCCCGGGCAGTGCAATTGTGCACAGGGCCCGGGCAGTGCAATTGTGCACACGGAGCAAGGTAACAGCAAATGACGCTGGCAATAGCTGCGGGATTCCAAATGAGCAATGAGGTACTGACAAACAACACTAATGATAATGATTCGTGTTGCAGGCCTAAGGCAATGCTATATTGATAGGGCAACACTGCAGAGATAAGACAAGGCTATAGGCACAAGGCAATGCAACAGGGAAATGCAATGCTATGGAGGAGGGGGGGGGGGGGCTGTAGATATAAGGCAGTTGGGATAAGACACTGTTTAACGCTACAATGATAATGTTGCAGGTCTAAGGCAATGCTATAGTGATATGGCAACACTGTAGAGACAAGGCTATAGGGATAAGGCACAGCAATAGGCTAAGGCAACATGGCATGTACGCACGCACCACCAGCAAACTGGACCGATATGTAACAGGCATATGGGGGAAATGATAACCGGATAATAACCGAACACTAATGGTGATACTTGGTCAATACTTCACTATCCGGATCCGGCACATCTCTAGCAATCTGTAACCTTGAGTAAACATTTCCAAATATGAATACTAAGGGAATTGTTGGGTGGTAACAAAAGGAGGCACATGTCAAATTTAAATTGATCAATCAATACGATCAATCGATATTAATCCATTGTCAATAACGATTAATCGATTATGAAAATGAACCGGTGGGTGCAACTCTAGAAAAGCTTATGAATATTCCCACAGAAGAGGGAGGGGCGGGCTCGTGCAAGTACAGTATCTAGCAAGCAGCAGAGCACACATGACATCTAATGTAAGTGTGCCCACCTTTATATAGGCATGACGTCAACAACCCCTAGATCTGTCGCTGGGTCCCCCCAATAACACTCTCACGCCATCTGTCAACTATCTTTATTGCATAATTCCATATGTAAATATGTAAACAAAGCGAGTGCACCATAGCCACCTCTGAGGTTAACCGCCACCTATAATTTAGGGCGCTTTCCATTAACACGGCCAGACCGCTCAGAACGGTCAAATTGTTGAATGGAGCACAAAACGTTTGGGCTTGGGCCTATATCTGGCCGGAGAATTTAGATAAAATTAGAATGAGGTCCATTTTCGCTAGATATTTGAGAAACATAGACCAGATCTTTCCATTGATACAGAGGAAAAAATTCGGGTCTGACCAGTCAGGCCATTAAATGGAAAGCGCCCTTAGAAGTATTTTTTGTGCGAGTTATTGTGCAGCTATTTAGACAATTTAATGTACTCTTTTGTAGGAGAATGCTGAAGAATACGAACGAGCCAGGTTCAGGTAATTTGTTTTGTTCATTAGCGAAACCTACAATGCCCAACATGGCGTGCTATGGAGTTTGTTTCTGTTACTAGAGGTGCGCCAATGCAGGATGCGAATATTCAAGATTTTTAGTTGTACTTCCTTTCATAGGCTGATTTACTTGGGGGGGGGGGGGGGTTAATCCCCCTAGAATCTCTCTAACCCCTCTTATAAAGTGTTCAACTTTATACGTTCAACAGTATGTGTTCAACAGTCTTTAACCCTAACGCCTAACCCTCCTTTTAAACGTACAGTAAGATAATCGTTTAGTAACCTGAAACTAAGATTTAGAACAAGAAAGAGCAAATTTACAAAAATATAATCAACTAGTAATGTGATGTTGTATTGTTGTCACTTGCTTACATTGTTGGAATGTCGTAGCTTGACCCATAATCCCCTTCTTTTCGTGGGGACCTACTGTAACTCGAATCGTAAAATCGGACTTTTGGTGATCGAGTAATTGATCACAATTAAAATAGCTCGGTCGCAGGGTGCGATAATTCACGTACTTACGTACCGGAGGTACGCTAATATTACGGTACTCTTGCTATCTGCGTACTTACTTACGCGGAACTCTTGCTATCTGCGTACTTACTTTTTGCTGGCACCATATGACCTTTCCAAGCTCAAGGTATTTAGTACCGTAATTTAGTTGGCATATCATGGTCTGAGATGTCTCGGCATAAAACATGATTGGACTGATGGCACTATACAAATGCTGGCGTCGAATTTTTGTCTATGCGTGTAATTGTGCTTCTTGTTTTAACTCGTAGCAGGGTTCGTAGAAAACGTGAAAGTCCTTGAATGTCCTTGAATGTCCTTGAATGTCCTTGAATGTCCTTGAATTTGAAAACAAAAATTCAAGGATTTGAATATCCTTGAATTTGTAAAGAAGTACTTAAGAGTCCTTAAATTCTTCTTGCTTACTTTAGTTTACGGATATTTTTTGAAATAATAATTGTTTGACATTCGAAACGGATATTTTGTTGAACTGATTTTGCATGTTCATATCGGACAAAGCTGTAATTTTACAGATTTCTAACGCCTTCTCTTCAGTATTTAGTCCTTGAATTTGCTGATACATGACCTTGAATGTCCTTAAAAAGTCCTTGAGTTTGACTCTTCCTGACATGGACGAACCCTGTCGTAGTTTGAATATACTTAATCTCAGCCCCTGTATTTTGTATACTTTATTTTAAAGACTAAGTACACATCGAGTATTGAGTTTGTACTAGCGCAAATACGGCAATGATCATTGGCGTACCAGTCAGGTACAGTAGGTACGACTAAAAATCTTGAATTATCGCACTCTGTCGTGGTGACATTTCCATTTCTTTGCATGGGGTCTTTGTAGTATTGTTGAAATTTGTTCGCGTTTTGCTCTATAATTTAACATGTGATTTTAAAATGTGTTCACATGCTTTCCTTCATACCTGGTGATACACAGTTGACATTGCCCCAGTGTCCCGACACTGGCTGTAGTGTAAACGGTTAGTCGAATCTAGAAACTTTAGCGAATCCGGAATCATTCGCTATGGTGTAAACGAGGTCTTATTTTCATCTTTCTTTTTTCATTTTCCCTGCTAGGGAAGACACCTACGTTCGTGTGTTTGGTTATATTAAACGTCTTGATGATGATAAGAAACACGTTGTCGCTTTCGCTATGCGCCACGTGACAGACTTTAATGAAATAACCTTTCACATGTATGATGTTATTCACGCCGCGCTTTCCATGCAAAAGGTATGTAATTTATCTAAGTATATGTGCAATTCGCCATATTCGGAAAGTTCAACATTATGCCAGAGAGGAATAATATGATTAATGCACAAGATATTGTTCCATCTGCTTGAACTATAAATATGGGTAAATCCACTTCGAAAAGGTTGTGTGCTAGACACCCACTGTAGAGAAGTCCAGCATCACCCTAACAAATCTGCTCGACCAGATATTTTCTGCTTTGAATAGCGATTAGCGGAACTTCAATCTTCTGTTAACGCTTTCGATTTCTTGAAACGATTTAATTGATTTGTAAGTTTACGAGAAAATACTCAGAAAATACTCATGCTTTAGTTAAATATCTTGATTAATATCTAAAACATGTCGATGTTGTTATGCAGCCATGTTTTCAAATATACTGTACTTTAACAAGCAAATTTATTGTACTGTTGCCACGGCAACTGTCCGGTCACCCAAACGTGACAAAAAGCCGATAAACTTTGTAAACAAAATCTATTGTAAAACGTAACAGAACGGCGAACATGCAGATTCGGCCATCGCAAATAATGGTAATGTTGGGATAGTACCGTTGCAGACTACAGGGGAGAGTAGACAGTAAGGTTTCCTCATGCACCACCCGATGGAATACCTGCACTTTGCGGATGAGGCTAGATCCTCCCCTGCAACCAATCCTGACTGATTTCATGCTGCAATATGTGTACCTGTCATATAAGAACCACTTCAGCCTGTCAACAAAAATAGTGGTTCTTTTATGCGTGTTTTTTATACCCATGGCCGTTGTCATGACAAAGTAATATCAGTCCAGAAATACCAGAATTAGTCAGGCAGATAGAGGATCAAAATTATGGAAAACTTACTTTATCGTGGGACAATTCCATTTTGCCTTCATATTGTGCCCTGAAGGCTAGTAAGTACGTTTCTGTATGTTGGCCGCGTTAAAATTTCTTCTGGGTTCCTGCCGACACGTTTTTCTTCGAATTTTGTATTAAACTCTATTACAGTTAAAAAATGTAAAATTTCTGATACATTTCTAATACCAATGACTTGCATCAATAGAAAGCTAACAAAAAACTACATATAAGACATTTAAATGGTTAGTTGGGATTTTCAAGCGGTTTTCGAGTTATTGCCGTTTCAAATGTGAAAAATAAGCCAAAATCTCGCAAAATTCCTGGGTACTAGTCTGAAAACACGCATTCAACAACTCATAACTCAAGAAGAACTTGAAAAACCCGGGTAACCGTTTAAATGTCTTATATATAGTTTTTTGCCAGCTTTCAAATTATGTAAGTCATTTGTGTTAGGCATGTATTTGAAATTTCACATTTTTTAACTGTAAAAGAGTTTAATACAAAATTCGAAGAAAAACGTGTCGACAGGAGCACACAAGAAATTTTAACGCGGCCAACATACAGAAAAGTACTTACTAGCCTTCAGGGCACAATATGAAGGCAAAATGGAATTGTCCCTCGATATGGTAAGTTTTTTCCTTCTATCTGCCCGACTAAATATGCCTATACCGTATATAAATTTCCGTATTTATTTCTGTTGCAGCGTATGAAGGAGGAAGCCACCACTCCTGACACCACCACCAATTTTGGAAACAACAATTCGTTCACTGCTCAAAGAGATCAATTTGGGCCACAAACTGGAAGCATGTCCAATGCTCAGAAAAGGGTATTAAACAATTTCTATGTTTTTATATAATGATCTATTCTCAGACTATTAAATGTTTTATTTATACAACACTTCGAACTGTTTACGCTGGCATGTACGGAACCCCGATTTCCGCCTAGACGTTCTCCTTAACACGCGGGCTGTATACCCGGAAAGTGTAAGGCATTCAGGTAACTGGTGATCACGCATGTGGAGGAGCACTGGAAGAATGTAACGCCTTACATTTTTTGGTTATACAGCACGCATGTTAAACTAAGTTCGTCTCCGGAAGAGAGTGCTAATTCAGCCAAAATTATGTCGATATGTCCTTAGCCATAAGGCCATAACCTTCGAAAGTTTTTAAGTTGTCCTTCTGACAGACAGGCGAACTACCACACACAAGCAAACCGAGATGAAAAAACCTGGCAGCAGTGAATGTCAGCATTTTATTTGTGAATAATTTTTAGGTTTACGAAATGGTGAACCAAGCTAAGTCACAAGAAGGAATATACGTCGGTGATCTAGTGAAAAGATTGAACATGCCTGAGCAGGGTGTACGGTATGTGCCCTGTATTGTAAAAGGTCTTGAACATAAGCTTAGACTACAATCTTCCGGAAAATGCGATATGAGCTCCACCTTTGAATTTACAAAATATGAGTAAATTGTTAAACACGTCCGAAATTATCAATACAATAAGTACACCTTTTCTGTAATTACGTCATGAATTCGTTCTTAGCCTGTGTAAATGAGAACCTGATTAGCTTCTTTAATTAAGTAGTTTTTTACGCATTGCCCCCCAATAGATGTTCTGCCCCAGTCCGTATATTAGGTCTAATAATGGACCTATCACCTAATGAACAAAATTTTGATCTAGACAAGTCTAGACAAAAATTTCATCACAACTTGAAAGAGCATCACAAAATTAGTAATATTCCGAAGTTTCGTTGCGAAATGTTGTAAAATGCGGATAATATAGCCCTGCGAAGTTTGCCGTTTTTCAGTCATTTTGTATTACGGACAGAAAATTGATACCGCTTTCTGAAAAAAGGTATCAATTTCCCATGCGTAATACAAAATACAGGGTGTATCTAAACATTTATATACAAATGTTGGGCACACTCAGAATAGCATCATCTCGCATAACTTCGCCTGCATGGTGTCTGCATGTCAACGCCTTGCCGAAAGTTGTGGGTTTTCTCCGGGCTCTCTGGTTTCGTCCTCCCATAGTTAGGAAAGTAATATTACGATTGTAAGATTGTTGTAAAGATAAATACTGATCATGTAGTCTAGGCAAAGTATGTAATACAGGTACGCGTCATTACTGGATGTTTAATGAAGTTGAATATGTTGGAAAGAGACAGATAGTTAAAATCGAACAACTGGCAACTTAGATCGCGCTCGCTGTTCGCGTTTCGTTCGAGGCCGACTTGTGGCAAGTCTACTGCCGTAATGGCAACTAAGCAAGACAACAATAACTTGGAACACATTTTTGTGGCATATATTTTGGGCAGAGAAGTGCTCGAAAACAGTTCCGGCCGAACTGTCTAGAGGCTCTCGCTAACCTAAGTTTTATCTAGAGAAACAGGCGAATCTCTAGACTGCAGAGGGCATGCTTGACTCTGTGCATGTCGTTCAGCGAGTTGAGACCTACAGTAGTTGGACTGGTGAACAACTATTGGTATAGGGCACATTACCCAGGGTACTCAAAGCTGGCTGAGGATACATGCAAAAACTGTAGGTTGTTCTAGAGGAACAGGCGGACCTCTAGATAACAGGGGAACAGGCGAACCCCCGTTCAGATCCGTCAGGCCGTCGACATTGAGACCTAGTTGGACTGGTGAACAACTATTGGTATAGGTCACATTACCCCAGGCCGCAACTGATAACCTGACTGATCACATCGAGTCTCTAGGACTGCTCATTCAGGTCTTCAGTGCGACCTGAATGAGCAGTGATTGCGCTTCACGTAGTGAAGTGTTGTCCATCGTACAGCACTTCCCTGCCAGTATATAATTATTTATTGCATTTCTTCACATAAGTGGGTTACAAATCTATGAGTAACGTGCTTAGCTATATACAGGAATATTCATTTTTCTAATTAACAGTCCTTACAACACGCCATATTATAGAGACGCAGATTGGTGTACATGATTATTGGGAGGTGGGTGGGTTTTTTAAATTTCCACTTTGCCAAGGTTTGGTCCCTTAAATTATTAGCCAAAACTTTTGCCAGAGATGTTAACGCACTGGCTAAAGTCTTGCGAATGAGCAGTGCACGTCGGCACTGCGATCAAAAGTCTTTGCGCAAAGAGGGGGGCCATTGTACGTATGCACGTGAAGGAAAAACCTTCAGGATAATTTCTGATTGGTTAATCCCAAGTTTGCATCAGTTGTTCACATGCCTAGCAGCCAAAGTTCGATCTTTATCTGATATTTTGTAATATTAACAGGACTAGAAAACGGTTCCCTTGTTCTGCCAAGGTACTTGGACCTTGTACGTATCTTGTACGGATTAATTGCTGTGACGCAGATGCGTTGGCAGACTGAAAACACCCTCGGGCAGATAGAACCTTCTAGAACATATTACTCCATTAACCGCAATTTATAGCTTTGCTTAAATTGATTATATTCCGTCACTGAAAAGCCCCAATGGTGAGTGAACTGGTTAATGCGTGTATGAATTTTCCGTGCCGCGAATTTTCCGTGTGTAAAGGGCCTTGTATATGTCTTGTATAACCTCTATCGAAACCTTCCCTACAAGCGTAATGCTAAGAATGGAATGCATGATGGTCATATTTTGAAGTTTCACTCACAATAATCATCTTGTTTGGATTATTATTTTGCAGAGAGGCCCTCGAACACCTGAGCAACGAAGGCCATATCTATTCCACGACAGACGACGACCATTTCCGATCCACGAATTCAGCCGACGAATAAATAGGTAATATATATGTACCATTTTCATTCACATACCCTGGAGAGATATTGGACAGATATGTTCCGTTGAAAACAGATACTAGAACTCCATTGGCATCAGTTGTGTGCGTCATTTCAAAGACTGTAAGAAATAGTGTAAATAATGATATTACATATGGTCAATCAAGATATGGTCTGGAAAGTGGGCAAAAGTCCTTTTTTTTTTAATTTTTAACTCTGTGTGCATGGGCATATATGACGATTTGGTGGGCACTGGGACGAAATTATGAATAGTATTAACATGGCCTCAAAAATCGTGGAAAATGTTAATCCGGTCAGGTGGGATGAAGCGTTCATATGGAAACCTGAAATCCCACCCATTTCTCATATTAGTCAGGCAGATAGAGGATCAAAAATGAAAGAAAAAAACTCACCATATATCGGGGGACAATTCCATTTTGCCTTCATCTTATGTCTTTAATTAAGGCTGATATTCTGTATGTTGGTGGCGTTCAAATTTCTTTTGGGCTCCTGCCATAGATATGTTATATACACTAGATAGCGCATCTCTTTTAGTAAAATTGAAGCCAAGAATATTCCAGCGGTTACCACCATTTGATAGATGGCGGCCATGTTGGTAATTCCCACTCGCTAATAAACGCTTAAAAAAAACAACAATAACTTTCATCATTTGAATAGTTTAGAAAAGTTACCTTAATGTTAACTTAATGTTTAAGTTCCCTGTTTAAGAAATAGAAAACATACGAATCTTCTTATTTCATGGGAATATCCTGAGTCTGCAATCACGACTTCAATTTTTGAATTACAGAATAATTAGATGCACTATCTAGTGTATATAAGATATCTATGGCTCCTGCCAACACGTTTTTTTTTCTTTGATTTTCCTATTACTCTATAGCGTTAAAAACGTGAAATTTCAGGTTCATTTAGAGAAAAAATAACTTGCAGCATCAGAAAGCTTACAAAACACTACATATAAGACATTTACGGTTACCTTGATTTTTCAAGTTCTTCTTGAGTTACGAACTTTTGAAAACGTGTTTTCAGACTAGTGCCCAGGATTTATCGCGCTTTTTTGGCCTATTTTTGACATTTTGGAACAGCAACAACTCGAACAGAGCTTGAAAAATCAAGATAACCGTTTAAATGTCTTACGTGTAGTTTTTTCAATGTAAGCATGGGCGTACCGGAAGGAAAAAATTAGGGGGGCGGAAAGAAAATTGCCCGACTTTTCGGGATTCTGCCCGACTAGTACCAAAAATTTTTTTCCGGAAAAATTATTTTGGCGACCTCCCCCCCCCCCAAAAAAAATTTCGGCCAGTGTACCATTTTAGGGGTCAAAAAAATTTTCCGGACAACCAATATTTTCCGGAACATAACACAAATTTTCGAAAAATCACAAAATTTGCCAAAAAATTGAGTTAATTTTAGACAAAATTGACAGAATTTGTCCCATTTTTTTTTATTGCAAACCAAAATTGCCCGACTGTTGATCGAATATTGCCCGACTGCCCAAAAAACTGGGGGGGCTGCCGCCACCCCCCGCCCGGTACGCCTATGGGTTTTAGTATTGACCAAATAATGTCGAAATCGTATTTGTTTTCTTTCAACTTTCTTTGCGAGTAGTTTGCTTTTTTCTTGGATGAAATTCGCTGCAGTAGAATATTTTGTGGTAAAAGCTACATTATCTGCTTTATATATCGAGCACTCTTTAGAATTTCGTCAAACATATATAACACATGTACACTCTATATAATGCATGTATATGTATACAGCTGATTCAATTAAGGTTGTCCTTCCAGAACCTTACACCTTAATCTCAGGCCTACTCTGGGGCTGTAAATCGCCTTAAATCGCCCTAAATCGCCTAAAATCGCACTAAATCGCGGGTTAAAATTGTCGAATTTCTCCTAAATCGCCTAAAATCGCCTAAGATCGCTTAAAATCGCCAACATGCATTCTGCTTGATACATTC